CAGTGTGCACAGGCAGGTCCCATCCGAGCATCGGTTCATTCAGTGTGAGAACATGATTCATGAGCTGTGAACTTTTAAACCCTGCGATTTGGTCGTACAGTTTAAGCTGGGGCTGAGTGACACGACCAAAAATATCACACAGTGTATGTCCAGCATTAGACAGACCCTCCACCAGAAAAGTTACACAATGCATGTTTAAGTTCAGTACTTTTACTTACCTTATGAATTCTGAGCATCCTAATTATTCACCACGATAAGTTTATAAACCCTTTTCACAAGTTTCCGAGGCCAGAGTGGAGTAATTGCAGTAAAGTCAACAACAACTAGCATACTAACTGCACAATTCCTGATTCCCAGACAGTAAAGCACTTAATGATTAGACACAGACAGAGCACAGTGGACTTATTTTGACCTCAAGACATCTACATCTGCACACATTCTGCTTAAATCAATGAAAACACATTTCGTAGTTCACATTTTTATTGTTGGAATGATTTGAGAAACAGGAGCCGTTTTCCTTCACTGCTAGTTCAGTTCTGATACTACAGTCGTATTTGCATAACATCAGTTCACATTATAGTTTGAAGCCCTTGAGAACAAAGTAGTGTATATACTAGTACTGCAGGTAGGGCTGAGTACTGTTAAAGGGCCCGTATATATGCTGCTTTCTGTTCTAATGTTGTTTCACGAACAGACATGGAGTTGTGTTTTGTTTCATTCACATGTTAAACACACAAACCCTGCACATTTAACCTCAAAATGCTCTGTTCCACCTTGTGATGTCACGTGGTAATGTGGGAAGAAAGTGCCTCATTGTGCTTTTAAACTCCACACACTTTGACTAGAATCATTTGGATTATTTCAGCTCTTGAATTGCCAGTCTCTACTGAACCAGACATAAAAGGTAGATACTAACATGAAAACTACCACTTCATGACATCACAAGGTGGAGCAGAGCATTTGGAGGTTTGTAGACATAGACAGACTAAGACTACGTTTACACATACCCGGGTGTGTTGAGAAACGGATATTCATCATGCACACAGCATCGTTTTCAAAAAAGTGTATGTATGAAAAAGAAAACTAAGTTGTTGTCCATAATAGTGAAGATTTTTGTTTGCAATTTATTAATAATTGTGCCTGAACTGAAATGCACTGATTTGAAATGTTTTAAAGTAACTATCAGTGTTGATGTTTTGTCTGGAAAAGGGAAAAGGGGGCAGAGAATATAAGATGATTCTTCTTTCTGCTTCTTTTCATTCATTTCTTGTATGTTTGATGTTGTGACACTCTCGATGTCTTTTTATATTTTATGAATGAAATAAATAAACTAATAAAATAATAAATTAAAAAAAGTTTTCGTTCACATAAACCTGCATAAATACTCCATCGGGCGCCGTCATAACTACACCAAACGTCTGGGTGCAGCTGCTTAGATTCAAACCCGAAGCATTTATTCCATTACAGTTGTAAATTTTACTCACAAATACCTTGAAAAACATGCATTAGTGAGCGGGCTCGCCTCTCCACAGATCTGTTAAAGAATTGGCAAAATTGCAGACCTCCGAGCCTCATTGGTCTCTGGTCATGGATATGAAACGTCAGCTGTGTGCAAATGTAAACACATGAAAAATGTTTGCACCAGAAGAAATGCGACATAAGAACGTAGTTTTCCAGAATCTCCATTTTAGCCAGAGTTTTTAGAAATATTTGTTTTCAGAGGTGAATTTTTCATTTGAGTGTAAAAGGTGGGAACAAACGAAGGGAAATGTCCTGTGCACGTGTAAACTGGACTTTATGATAAAGGGTGAGAATGAAACAAAACACAACTCCAGGTGTGTTGTTGACAAAGTAACATTATAACATGATTTAAAACTCTCAATAGCACATTTTACATAATATAGGACCTTTAAAAGTTACCAGTACCGTACCAAAATAAATAAATACATACATAAATAAATAAATAAAATAAACCAAATGAAAAAAAAAAAGGTTTCTTCAAATAAATACTGTTAAACTGGCATAACACACATTGTACTTTTTGTCATTATTCTAGATCACAGGTGTCAAACATAAGGCCCAGGGGCCGGATCCGGCCCTCCAAGACCTTTAATCTGGCCCTCGGCTGATTTTCTACTAAAATATTTTAATCATATTTTCGATTAAAATATTGGTAATTTTCTGCGGTGCTTAGCATAGCAGCATCTCCAGCGTCTCTGTACGTGGCCCCTCCCACCAGAGCAGCACAAATGAAGACTTGTCTCTTTCCAAACGCTCTTAAAGGACGATCGTTTTGACTGTTGACCGTGACACCCTCATCAGAAAAATGTCCAACATGAGAAAAGTGGAGCCGAGTGCAGGATTTTCCAAGAAAAATTTACTTATTCCTATTTACATACAAGTTAATGTTAAAATATTGTGTTGAAATTGCATTTTTTTTTCATAATATTTTGTAAAAGAAAGAGTTCATCATTTAAAAAAGATTTCTGTAATAGATTTGTGTTTCTCTGCACAAATATTTGAACTTATTGTTATTTTTGGGGTTTATATGACATGAATTTTCTGATCCGGCCCCTTTGGGATAAATGAGTTTGACACTCCTGTTCTAGATAATGATTAGTGCAGTAATATGACTGGGAGTCCATCACCTGCTTGTTTCCATGGATACATCATTGCTCTGCCTGAAATGTTCCACAGTATGACATTAAACCGATCTACTTTACATTTATTCGATTACAAGTGGTTTCATAACTCAAAACTAACTCAAAAAACAAAAACCTCTGACTGTGAGCGGGGTCGCTTCTCCACAGATCTGACCTGTCACTTGGTCTGGTTTGGCCTCCATGAAGATAGAAAGATTTAATGCCATACTGTGAAACATTCCAGACAAAGTAATGAGGAAAAGTGTTTGACGGACCCAGCACCAGAAAAGTTACACACTGCACTTTCAAGTACTGAAAACAAGCGAATATTAAAGTACATTTCTTGTACAATATCTGGACCTGGACATAAGTGAGGTACCCAGCTCTATCTGTGCACATGAACTAATATACCAGTGTTTTTTTGTTTGTTTGTTTTTTGTTCATTTTCATCTCTGTTAAACAATTTCTAGTCCTAGTCGTCCAGAATTAACTCCTCATTTAGTCCAGATTTAAAACAACAACAACAAAAAAATACTATTCTGAATTCCTGACATTGGATTTGACTTTGACTTTCATTTCATCCGTGCACCTTCAGATTACAGTTAGAGATTACAATTGTATTACTGTCTCATATTTTGAAGTAAAAGTACCCGTTGGTCAAAGCACATGAATAAAATATCACATTTTTATTGATGGAATGATTTGAGAATTGAACAGTAACCACTTTGTGTGAAAGAAGAAAGAAATCCACACTGCAGTTCTTTGAAGTGCCCAATTTTTTTTTATTTTTTTTTTTCAGTGGCACCACAGTGTGATGTTTCTGGTTTTCTTTGGACATGTCTGAAAAAAGTAAAACGTGACCTGAAATGTCAAATTATGGTGTCACTGAAATAAAAAATTGGGTATGGAAGATAATTTGTTCCATCAGATTTTGAATTTTAAATGCGGTTGAATTTCTCACTTTGATTTTTTTCTTTTACTCTGTATAAAGATGTTTGAATTATTTTTAATCAGAATTTTTGTTTACTTTTTCAATATGTTTCAAATTCTAAATAAAAATTCCACAACATATATTTTCAAGCTCTCAAACAGTTGAAATTCAGAGTGTAAAATTTGCTGTGAAAAATTTCAAAACCAAGGCAGAAGCAATCGATCACGTGAGAGGAGGACAGAGGCTGTTTCCTATTGGCCGTTCTGATGTGTGGGCGGGGCTTACACTTAACAAATTAAAGAGATGAAGTTTGATTGATTGATTGATTCGTTTTTATTCCGAGTTTGTGCCAAGAGAGAAACAATAATCACTTATACTACATATACATTGTAAACAATATAAGAAAAAATTATTAACCCACCCCAGTTTATTTAGGTTTAGGTTTATTGACGCTAAGTCTGACCAATCAGATCGCTTCACTGCACCATTTCCTGCTTGATTACTAAGTTAGATTGGATCACTTTGGATCGATTGCTTCGGCCTTGGCATCTTGGATTGTTTCTGTGAATTTTTTTCACTGAGAATTTTACCCTCCGTTCGATGATCCTTCCAAAACGGTTTTCCAAAGAGCTTGCCTAGCGACACGCATGACACGCCCCTTTTGCTGGGACGGTGTGACTCAGATCTCAGCAGCGGAAAAGTCGACCGAGCAAGGCTATCCCCACTGTGATGAGTAAATATGAAGTGTTTTCAGTGTGTTTGGACACTTTGGTGGTTTAAATGACAGTTTCAGTTTCAGTTAGTCGGTGTTGTGGTGAGGCCAATATTGAACAAATACTTGATTTAACGGGCGTCTGACACACGAAACATAATAATACACTTCAAGCTCGGACTTGACGTCAAATCCGAGGTCCAAGTGGGAGTCGGAAGATAATCAAACGCAGGGTTACACTGAATTTTGACTGTTGAATTTGACTGCTTGAAAATATTTGTGCTGAATGTGCTTTATTTTGAATTTTAAACACTTTGAAAATATACACAAAATCTCAGCAACTAAAATTCTGAATAAAAATAATTCAAACATGTTTTTTCAGAGCTAAAAAATTCAAAGTGAGAAATTCAACAGCATTTAAAATTCAAAATCTGATGGACCAGAATTATCTTCCATAACTGGGCGCTTCAAAGAACTGCAGTGCGGATCTCTTTCTTCTTTTGCATGATTTTTGTGTTTGGACCCAGCACACAGTCCCAATATTTGTTGAATGTGCATGTCTCTATCTGCCAGCAGCCATTTTGTGTCACTGCTACTTCTGATGTTCCAGTAGTGTTTGTATTTTTATCAGTTCACATTATAGTTTGAAAGCCCCAGGACTGACCCAAAAGTCTCTTCACTCTCCCCTCGTCCAGATAAACCTGATGTCCTCGGGTCACTGCCAGCCAAAGTCCTGCCCGGTGAGCTGGTAGAACCTCCTGTTATGTGGTCTGTAGAAGTCTCTGAGCTTGAGGAGCACCCTGGGGTCTATGGGGGCGTGGGTGCGTCCCTTGGTCTTGCCCAGGCAGTGGGGTTTGCTGCTGCCCTCGGGTTTCTTCAGGCAGGGGAAGCCTTTGGTCTTGTTGAAGTAAAAGTGCTTGTCCGTGATGATGCGCTGAAGACCCAAGAAGTCCTGCACTTTGGCCATCTCGCCGGCGGGGTCGCTGATGAGCCGCTCCCCGCTCACCAGGTGGATCTGCTCCAGAGGAAACCAGTCCAACCAGCGCTGAAGGTGCAGGGCGTACAGGCCGATCCACAGGGGGCTCCACTGAGAGTCCATCTCACCTGGACGGACAAAAGAACAGAGGTTTGTAAGTTTACTGAACTTCTGAAACCGTCTGCAGTGGTTCAAAGTTCATCCTCACTTGCTTTATGCATTCAGAGCATCTTAATTATTCACCATAATGAGTTTATAAGCACTTTTCTCAATTCTCTAGCGTGCACTTCTGGATGATCACACACTAAAAAGCTTTATAATTAGATGAAGACAGAACATTGAGGACTTACTCTGACCTCAAGAGCTACTAAGGCTACATTCTGACTGCAGGGTTTAATGCTCAGTTTGGACTTTTTTTGCAAGGTCATTCACATTTCCAGTTAAATACGACTTGTATATGATCTCCAGTGTGAACTTTAAACGCCCCAAAAGTGTCCCGCATGAGCACTGGAGGACACGAAAAGCGAGTGTGCTCAGTGTTTACAGACGTCACCTAAACTTGTCTCCCAAAATACAGTCCAGTTCTTGATAAAATGTTCAGGTTACACGTCCACGGCTGCTTCGTTTGTTTGAGTCTTTAGCCTCCTTGTATTTTCTCGCAGGCTCTTTATTTTTCGTTGACATTGAAGCCAGGACCGTCTGTAGCTGCACTCGGACATTTTTTTTGGCAATCATTTCAAAAACCACCCAGTGATCCCTCCAAATATTAATAAACTCGCTAATCTTGCTTTCCCATTAACAAGACTCCAAGCCTGAGGTGTAGGTGGGATGAATGTGACCTGACCGTTCAGACTGAAGTCACATGTCAAAAGATCAGATATGTATCAGTTTTAGGAGCACATATCCAAGTGTCCTGGGTCACATTTGAAAAAATCAGATCTGTGTGGTTCAGACTGTCATTAAAAGATCAGATACAGGAGCATAGGGGCGAAAAAAATTGAATCAATCAGGCTGCAGTCTGAACGTAGCTTATATAATAATACATAAAAATAAATACATATAATACATAATAATACTTTAAGATTTTATAAGAATAAGGCCCTTTAAATTGTGCCAATTTAAAGAGCCTCTACCTCATTATTTATGTAATTAAGTAATGATGAGACATAACTTTGGACCACCATTTCAAATAATACTTCTGTTTATTTAAAATTGTTGCTCTGTTCTGTTTTTCTCGTTTTTCAGGCTTTGATTTAACACAGTCTGACAACTCATTTAGTCTGTGAACTGTGTCACAGTGCCCTTCCCTCTGCTTACTCGGCGACATTTCTCAACTCAACATACCCGCTCCCAACGACAAAATACTTCTTGTATGTTTATTGTCATGAAATAGAAATCCAGGAAACACATAAACATTGCACACTGGAAAAACCTACTCATGGATCATACCTCAACAGAATCTCTCCAAAATACCAATAATAGATCATTGATGGAACCCCTCTCTGTCTGGACTCCACTCATGTTGTTTCTACAAACTACCCAAACATAAACTTGCCTTTTCCCCCCTTCTCCCTAGAAATGGCATTAACTCACATGCATATAACATATAATCCCCTCAATCAACAAATAAAAAAACAATAATAAATAATCATTTTAAAAAATTTATTAAAATCAAATTTGGCCAAACAAGGACCTATCCCACTTCTCATGCGCCCAAATCTCTCCTTTTTTTTTTTAACGCACCACACTGATTTGAATACATCTCACAAAGCTCCTCCAGCCTCCAGCTCCTCCTACAGACATATGTTTTGATCTGTGAGTGTGCAAGCCTCCATCTCCAGACCCCTGCTGTGATTGGAGGGTTCAGATCAGATGGCACCAGGTTCTTCAGGAGCTGATTGGTTTCCACCAACACCTGGTGGTGGTAACACCTGGTCAATCCTGGGCCCTCACCTGGAGCCCCAGCCCTATAAAAGGACACGCCCCCTGCCACTCAGGGCAGCTGTTCTGACTGTACACTGTCTGCCACTTTAGTTTGTGTCTTGTGTTGTTTAACTTGTTTGAGACACTTTTAGTCCTTGTGACTTAGTTAGAGTTGGTTTTGTGTTTCTGTTAATTGTCGTTTTGAATACTGTTTTTATTGGCCTAGTTTTAGTTATACATTTAGCCACTCTGTTTAGAGCCTCTTTTTGTTGATTCTTGTAAGTATTTTTACCTTACAATTCTTTTAAATAAATCACAACTTTAGTTTTGCCATTTCTACATCTTGGTTATTTTGTTACTTCCCCCTGTCCCTAGCAGAACTGGGTCATAACAAAGGCTTAAACATCAATCCCAACAACTCATTAACAAACATAACTGGGGCTATGTTTTTTGTTTTTATTTTTTTTTTGTGAGGTGATTCACATTTCCAATTAAATTTGACTTGTATGTGATCTCCAGTGTGAACTTTAAACACCCCAAAAGTGTCCCACATGGAACCGGAGCCAGAACATGTGCAGCTTATTTGTTTTAAGAAGGAGATTGAGAAGAAGGACAAAATTTTGGGCCATGGCGTTTTGTGGGGCAGTGGCAGCGACGTCCGTAGAAAGGAACCCGTGGGTGGGATGAATGTGACCTGACCATTCAGACTGAAGTCACATGTCAAAAGATCGGATGTGTATCGGTTTTAGGAGCACATATCCAAGACTACATTCAGACTGCAGCCTGAAGTGACCCAAATCCAATTTTTTGGCCCCTATGCTCCTGTATCTGATCTGTTAATGACAATTTGAACAACACAGATCTTTTTTTTTTTTCAAATATGACCCAGGCCACTTGGATATGTGCTCTCAAAACTGATACATATCTGATCTTTTGACATGCGACTTCAGTCTGAAGGGTCAGGTCACATTCATCCACCTACACATCAGGCTCGGAGTCTCGCCAATGGAGGGAAAGTGAGGTTAACGAGTTTATTAATATTTGGGGGGATCGCTGTATTCAGGACAAGTTAGAGGGGTCTTATCGTAACTGGGCAGTTTTTGAAATGAAAGCCAAAGAAATGTCCGAGTGCGGCTACAAACGTTCCTGGCTCCAACGTCGACGAAAAATAAAGAGCCTGCAAGAAAATACAAGGAGACTAAAGACTCAAACAAATGAAGCGGCTGTGGACGTGTAACCTGAACATTTTACCAACAACTGGACCGGATTTTAAGAGACAAGCTCAGCGTTTCGGCGACTTCCGTAAACACTGAACACGCTCGCTGTGTGTGACGTCATCGTGTTATTATTATTATTTCCACAGTTGTCATTCTCGCCGTTGAGTTGAAGAGTATAATAAAGACTTTGAATGCAGTGCCTCAGATTTTCTTTTGATCCTAAAGAGCTCTACACTAAATATTCCAGAGCAGTTTCTCGCTTCACCTGTGGAGTGGTTCTTGAAGGCCAGGCTCTCGAACGTGGGGATGTCTGGAGTCTTGGAGATGATCTGGGTGTAGTCCGAGATGGCTCTGGTCACCGGGTCCCTCACCACCACGATCAGCTTCACCTGCCGGGACATGGCGTGCACCCGGGCCGGCGTCTCCGTGGTGACGAAGTACCGAGGCGTCTTCTCCATGACGACCTGCCCCTCCAGCGCTTTGGGCATCATGCTCCTACAAAATACACAAGAGAAACTTTTACTTGGAGCGATATATTTGTAGACACTTTATAATACGGTGAACACTGTGTTATTCAAACATTCAGTGGTGGTAAGTTACTACTGAAACCACACCTGCCCTGGGACAGACTGAATGAATCTGCACTGTCGGCCCTTACAACCACCAACACTCACAAACACACCACATTCATACACATTCATGGGTGAAGTGTCTTGCCTTAGGACACAACAGTTTGCACTAAAGTCACAGCTATCTCACTGTGACACCTAATAAATGGTAAATGAGCACTTTTGCACCTTCAAGGCCATGGAGTAAGAAAACTTTCAGAAATATCTGTGTGTATAGGATAGAAATCCGTGCATATTTGTCTGTAGTTGAGCATGAAATAAATATTTGTAAACTCTTGAATGAGTCCAGTCATACATAAAATGTGTTGTGTGGTGAAAAGCTACCACAAGAATTATAATCAACAATACATTAAAATGTACAATTATGCTTTTTTCAGTACGAAAATGAAAACACAGACACGACTTTACTGTAAAAAAAAAAAAAAAAAAACGTCATCACTTCACAGGCTTTAGTTACTGAGTAGAACCTACTGAGCTACTGTCGCCCAAATAGTAGGCTCTATTCACGCTTACGTCACAAAACCGCCAGACGTTTGAAAACATGCGGATGACGACTTCCTTTGGCTCTGTTGGCGATAGGAACTCTGACAAAATCTGGGAAAATCTGAGAAAATGGCCTGATTTTCTTCATCTAGATCTTCATCTTTGCATTATTTCTTTTTTACTTTTATAAATTGCCTCTTTATTTGTGTTTTATAATTTGTCTAATAAAAAAAGAGAGAGAAAGAGAGATGTGATTGTAGTGTTCCGTTATGTTCGGTAGATCGACACTTCCTGTTAAAGCCCCGTCCCTCATGGAAAGCTTCAGCAGGTTGTGAAGACACTGCTGCTGAATCAGTGTCGGGAAATACACCGGAAGTCGTCATCCACGTTTCCAAAAGTCTTCTGGTAAATGTGAATAGAGCTACTGTATATTCACAGTCAAGTCCATCTGAATAGTAACCAGGCCCAACTCTACTGACACAGCAAAAACTGCAGTTGTGTTTTTAACACAAAAAGTGTTATTTTAACTATTTGAAAGTTAAATGGGGATTGGAGTTGGGGTTATTTGTCAGAGTTGATATGGTTTAAGTTAAATTAACTTCCCCTAGTGTTCATTCACCTTCTCTTAGTGTTAATTTGGCTCCTCCCACCCACCACTTCAAACTCCCCTGAGAGAAAACCAGTTTGAACCAGTTTTGTTCATTATTTCATCTCAAATTGACTAAAATAAAGTAAAAATAAATTTCTCTCTCTTCCTCTCATCCCGCTTCTCTCTCTCTTTCCCTCTCTGTTCCTCACATCCCTCTCATCTGTCTTTTCTCTCTCTTCATCACCTCATGTTTGTCCTCTCTCTCTCTTTATCTTCCTCTCATCCCCTTTCTCTCTCTCTCCCTCTCTGTTCCTCTCATCCTTCTTCTCTCTCTCTTTCTGTCTCTCTCTCTCTCTCTCTCTCCTGGTCTCTCCCATAGGGCGTGGGGCAGATGGGACTCGTTTGCAGATAAATGAGTGAGGAGGCCCCCGAGGAGTGCCTGGAGACCGGGCACATCTGCCGCACACCTGCTGTACACCTGACCCCAGCCTGAGCTCACGGTGGGACGTCGCTCGCTGCTCTGCTCCTGAGTGATACCAGAGCACAGACTCTCTACTACACAAAAAGTAAACAGAGCTGTTCACCTGAAAACTACCACCTCATGACATCACAAGGTGGAACTCAGCATTCAGAGCTTTGGAGATGCTGACAGACTAATAATAAAGAGTCATTCAAACAAAACTCCAGGTCTGTTTTAAAGGACACAACATGAGATAATCCCCCAAATGTAGCATTTTAAAAAACAAAACTGAGACAAACTAAATCAGATGTGAAGGAGCTGCAAGAAACACAAATGTTCACATCATTTCATCTTGTCACATGAAGCTTTTATGTTATTAGGTTCTTTTTTCAGACCTAGAGTTTTGTTTCAGACCTGACAGTTTCGACTCCTCACTCGCGCTCTTCCTCAGAGTGGTCATGTGATGTTGCTGTGACGTGTCGCTCAGCTGATTTAAACAGGTTTTGAGGAAGTGGGACTGCAGATGGCGCTGTCGTCCTGCCTCCACCGGTAGGAAGACAGCGCCAAAACCTGTTTAAAACAGCTGACCGGACACGGCACAGCAACATCACATGACCACTCTGAGGAAGAGCGCGAGTGAGCAGTCGAAACTGTCAGGTCTGAAACAAAACTCTAGGTCTGAAAAAAGAACCTAATAACATAAAATATCAGAAGACCAAATGAACCTCATTGGACATGAAGCTTTTGTCACTTTAGACTCACTCACAGTGGGAAGAGGAAGCACAACTTTTACTCAAGTAACAACACTACTGTTCCACTGTATATCAAAATATCCAAATTGAAACAGACACCAAGACTGTTTTTTGATTGATGTTATTTGAAATAAACTTTAAATTAAAGGGCCCATCTCATGCAAAATAACTCTTTTCACATTGTATCTTCTGCACATAAACAAGCACAATTTGGGTTTTGGAACATCCATTACACAATAGTTCTGAAATCTTCCTGATTTCTTGGAGACAGTCACAGACCAGGATGTCATGGCTGGTGCTCCCTCCCTCTTTTCCCTGTGCATGTGTGTGTGGGCGGAGTCTCCTGCACCTCTAATTCGTCTCACCTGCGAGCAATCAAGAGCTGACTACTTGAGACCTGCTCACCTGCGACACTGTGCCAGATTGTTTTCAACCAACACAGGGTGAACCTCTTGGCTCCTCAATTCCGAGTTTTTTGCCACTTACGTTTTCCGCATGTGTTGGACCCGGAATCGGACGAGGACTTTGAGGAGCACGAAGCTCAAGCACCGCATCAGTTGGACATTACTGATTGGCAGTGTTGGGGAGTAACAGATTACATGTACCGGCGTTACGTAATCAGAGTACAAATTATGAGTAACTGTATTTAGTTACAGTTACTGTTTCCATGAGTGGTAATTGGATTACAGTTACTTTGTTAAAATAAATGGATTACATGGTGGTATTTTCCTGTTTTCACATTTTGGTAAACCAGGTCTAAACCAGGACTAAACCAGGTCTAAACCAGGTCTAAACCAGGTCTAAACCAGGTCTAAACCATGTTGTGCGGACTGTATCTCCTCCTCTTCTATAAATAATATTTATTATTTGGTTGAGTAAAGTCTGGGCTTTTTATTTTCTTTTATCAGATAAAACATTTTATGTGAAGATTTCCTCGTATTTGCTTCTCAGCAGCAAATCAAGTAATCGAAAGTATTCAGATTACGTTACTTATTTTAAGTAATTTAATGGATTACTTTACAAACTACATTTTGGGGTATGTAATCTGTAATCTGTAATCTGTAGGGGAATACATTTTAAAAGTAGTCTTCCCAACACTGCTGATTGGTAAAGTAGGGGTGTGCATTGCCTTGAGTCTGACGATACGATACATATCATGAGTCAAATGTCACGATTCAATATATCAAGATATATCCCGATACTAAAACAATGGATGATATATTGCGATTTTTCAATAATTACTTCTAATAATACGGTCAACTACACCTTCAAGAGAACACAATTGTATGAAATATAATTCATAAACTGAGAACTGTGAATGTAACTAATGAATTTTGGTGAAAAATATTATTTTAAAAATCCATTCAGATCCATTTTGAATCGATTCGAGAATTGTGCAATGAAGTATCACGATATATCACTGAATCGATTTTTTTCTTACACCCCTATGGTAAAGTATTAATGTAGAACAAGGAGCTTCTGCTGTCGCTTTTGTTTAGGTGTTCATGTGGGAATTGTCAGACAATGAGGGGCAGAAGTTGGTGGAGCGGGGGAGGGGGGCGGGTGTGAAGCGCTTTCTGCTACGTCAAACGCGTCATAGGTGTAGCTGCCGCGTCATCGTTGTAGCAGCTTTAGTTCGTTGTCACATGGGAGGGTGGCACAAATACGCTGCAATTTGTTTAAAAAAAAAAAACGCTGAATCAATCTAAAAAACACTTCAGCAACAAATACAAGGCCCACACATCACTCTTAGAAGGTAGAAAGCTCTGAGTACTGTTACACTGTACAGAATATGACTGAAGTAGGAGTAAAAATACGACTCATTTCATCTTAATTCAGAGCGTTTAATGTGATGAGGTCAAACAGTGAAGTGAGTGTGTGGCCCTCTTAACCCCTCCACACTGGGGACAGTCAGAGGGGACAGGCCTCTCTCTCTCTGCCCCTCCGTGAGCTCATGTTTCGGCCTGCACCTGCAACCCGAGCCCCTGTCGATATATCTCCACCCGGCCCTGCTGCCCCCCCCACCCCACCGCACCCACAAACGCACCCAGACCTGCCCTCACATCTGATCTGCAGAGAGCGCGGGGTTTACCAGCACTTATCCTGCTGTAAATGTAACTGTGAGGAAGAGGAGGAGCGCATATGTACGTCACTGTATGATCCAGAAAATATGGCGAGGAGAAAATCCTGTTTGTCGACTGGACAAAAGTTAGTTTGGTTGAAGACGTTTCGCAGCTCATCCAAGCTGCTTCTTCAGTTCTGGTCAGACGCTGGTGGACACTTCCTTATATCTGCAGGGAGGAGCGAACTGCACTGAAACTAACACACACACTTGTTTACAGTTTCTGTTTTTTAGTTCGGCCTATTGACCTGTACAGGGTGTGGGGTCTAATTAGCAGAACAATTCATGGCCAAAATGGAGCTTCCACACCTCTGGACCTGACCTGACTACACCTGTTGTTCTCTTGTTTGTTTTGATTTAGGTTTGAGGATAGAGTTGTAAATAGGAGACAGATGGTGTCTGAGTCCATTTCTGTTTAGAGAAGGATTCTCTTTCTTAACAAAAATGGTTTCTTTCACTC